GGCAATCCACTCACCTCAGCCTCCCAAAGGCGCGGGATTACAGGCTGAGCCACCGAGCCCGGCTCAAATTTATTTTTTAAATGAGGAATGTTTTATTGCAGTGTCCTTCAATTTCAAAAAAAAAAAAAAAAAGCCCATACCCTCTACATATTTTTAAATTGACATTTAAGTTTTCCATCATAAGTTTAAATAGTTGCAAAGGAAGTAATTTCTAGTTTGCAAATATTGACATACTTAAATAAAACTGTTACATCAATTTTGACATGTAACCAACAGAATATAAATGCCATAGGATTTGAAATATCACCCACTTAAAAAAGATATGAATGAACCCATCACTAACCATTAGATGTTGACACTGCTTCTTTTTCTCCTTACGTTTTTATTTTTATTATTTTCCCACAGAATTTTATCCTAATGTCATACATATTTACACATACATACATGCATATGGTGTTTTTTGTTTTGTTTTGTTTTGTTTTGAGTTGGAGTCTATCACTCTGTCGCCCAGGCTGGAGTGCAGTGGCACGCTTCCGGCCACTGCAGTCTCCACCTGCTGGGCTCAGGTGATCCTTCTGCCTCAGACTTCCAAGTAGGTGAAACTACAGGCACGCGCCACCACGGCTGGCTAATATTTTTATAATTGATTGTAGAGATGAGGTCTCGCCAAGTTGCCCAGGCAGGTCTCGAACCCGTGGGCTCAGGAAATCCTCTCACCTCAGCCTCCCAAAGTGCTGGGATTATAGGTGTGAGCCACCACACCCAGCCTATGTCATATATTTTTATGCTTGGAAATATATTACTAATATATGTTCCCCCTACTAATCATCCTATTCATTAAAATTTAAACATTTAAAAATTATCTGTGATTTCTGGATTGAGTTACTATAATTATTAATGATACACAATTGATCAGAACTGTGTAAATGTTGCAAATTCAAATTATTTTTAAGCAAAAAATTGTAAAATGTGATTGGGAATGCATCTTTGGAACAGGTTAGTATATGTATTTTTGGACCTTTGATTAAAAGTGATTTCCTGAAGTTCAGGATTTTGAAAGATCCTTTTGTTTTGGCACTTCAGAGGTTTGTCCGCCACAGGGCAGAGTACCATCATAGGCTCAAGGTATCTTCTTTTTATTTGTTTGTTTTTATTTATTTATTTTTGAATTGGAGTCTTGCTCTGTTACCCAGGCTGGAGTGCAGTGGCATGCTCATGGCCACCCTAGTGTCTAACTGCTGGGCCCCAGCTATTCTTCTGCCTCAGCCTTCCAAGTAGCCAGAACTACACGTGCATGCTACCACACCTGGCTAATTTTTGGTTTATTGATTTTATCTCACCAAGGTGCCTGGGCTGGTCTTGAACCCGCAACCACAGGTAATCCACTCACCTTGGCCTCCCAAAGTGCTGGGATTACAGCCTGAGCCACTGAGCCCGGCCTTAAGGTATCTTGTGATGGTAGGCTTGCTTTATTCTTATCAAACCGCAGGAAGGACTTCAGGAAAAGAAGTGGAAAAGGAAACTGGCATGATGCTTCCACCATAGCATGGTATCAGGGAGATTTGTTTTTGATTTTTTTTGGTTTGTTTTTTGTTTTTAAATTAGACCAAGAGAATGGAGATTCACCTCTCCAAGGTAGGGGAGGGAGCCAAGCCTAGGAGACGTGGCGACTGTGGCTCAAAGAGCCACATGGTCTGACCGTGGCTTAGCAAAGCAATGGCTGGAAAGTAAATTAGAGAAAGACAGAGAGGAGATTCATCTCTCCAAGGTAGGAGAGGGAATTCAAAGCTTAGGAAACATGGTCGTGGCCATAGCTCGAAGGGCACATGGCTATATCAGAGTCTAGTAAAGCAATGGCTAGAAAGTAAGTTAGAGAGAGAGAGAGAGAGAGAGAGAGAGAAGGTTCACTTCTCCAAGGTAGGAGAGGGGGCCAAAACTTAGGAAACATGGCGGCAGCCATAGCTCAAAAAGCACATGGCCACACCAGAGTCTAGTGAAGCAATGACCCGAGATTTGTTTTATAAACAGTATTTATGGGGATCAAGGATCGTAAAGTTGGTTTCCTCTCTGAGCCTACATACACCTTGGTAGATCTTTGTCTACCTTTAAGGCTACATTTTGGAGATTGCTGCCTTAGAGGATAATTTGTAGAAATCATGTTAACTGGATTGCCACTAGTGGGATTAAGTGGACGAGATGATTGCAGTGACTTGTTTTTTCTATCTGTTGCTTCCTGTTCCATTCCCGGTGCTTTCGTCAGAACTGTCAGTCATACTCCACCTCAGCTTCCACAGGGGCCTGGCCTGGCCAAACATATTAATTCTGTTCCCTTGGATACAGTAGTTTTTCTACCAATAGGCATAAAAACCGGGCAGATCCGTGCAAGCCTTTCCCTGGAATTGGTTTATAAACCCTGGGGAAGAAAATTGCACTTTCTTTCTGTTGGGAACCTGCTGAGCTGGGGACATGCGACCCCCCCAAGCTATTGGCAGTCAGCTGAGAGGGCCTGTCTGCAGAGGGAAGACAAGCATTGCCAAGCAAAGAGCCAGGGAGGCCCAGCCAAGGGCCTCCTGGGGCACAGAACGCAGTCCCAGCAGCCTGGTTCCTGCACCTGTTTTCTTGCTCCTGTGAGCCATCCCAGTGTCCTTTCCAGCTCTGTGACCACCAGATTATCTTTTACAGTAAGTCCCCTACATAGGGACCTCTGATTGCAAACTTTCAAAGATGCAAACGTGTTCACACGTCCAATCACGTAAGTTAGTTCACGTGTCTGGCATACATTGTCATGTGGGTGCAAGGTCAAAAATGTTTTCTTTACTTTTTCTGTCTTTTTTAATGTATTATTTGTGTGAAAAGTATTATAAACCTATTATAGAACCAGTACTATTCAGTCTATTGTGTTAGTTGGGTACCTCGGCTAACTTTGTTGCACTTACAAACAAACTGGACTTATGAACATGCTCTTGGAACGGAACGCATTCATATGTGGGGGGCATTACTGTATGCCTAAGTTAGTTTGAGTTGGATTTTTGTTGAAGTAATCTTATTAGCAGCTGAAAACAGTAAATTCAAAGTATTGTTAAATGTCTTGTAAAATTAATAATTTCAAAATTTTTTTTCTAGATTGTCGGACCTTCAGATGGAAGTAGTTATATCATAGATTATTATGGAACCAGACTGATAAGACTGAGTATTACTAACGAAACATTTAGAAAAACACAGCTATATCCATGAAGATTGCAAAAAAGAAACAGTAAGTTATATGTATATCTAATCTTAGTTATAGTAATAAATTATTTACACAAAATTATGAGAATTTTAAAACATAGGAAATTTTCAGAGATCATATTAGTGTCATATGCCTCTCACTTGTTTATGAGGAAACTCAGATCTATCTGTGCCTGAAACATCTTTATCCTTTTTTTTGAGTTGGAGTGTCACTCTGTTGCTCAGGCTTCCACAGGGAGAACGTTCACGGCCACCACAGCCTTGACCCACTGGGCTCAGGTGATTCCTTCCGCCTCAACCTTCCAAGGTACACGCCTCAACCTTCTAAGGTGCGTGAACCACAGGTGCACGCCACCACGCCTGGCTAATTTTTTGATTTATTGTAGAGACGAGGTCTCGCCAAGTTGCCCAGACTGGTCTCAAAACACCAGACTTAGGCAGTCCTCTCACCTCAGCCTCCCAAAATGCTGGGTTTAACGCTTTGAAAAGCATTTGTATGCATACTCATCACTCCTATGGTTCTTAGTTTGAACTCTTTGCATGCATATGGTTAAAGGACAAAGTTCACAAGAAAAACTAGTAACACCAAAGCAAAAAGATATTTATTGCATGTTATTATGATGAAAGTATGTGCTATAATTGTAGCAGGTATTTTCTGCTGCCTGTCTCTTTGAGCATTAATGTAATCTTCAACCTCTTTTCTTCTCCTTCCCTAAACCCGAAAGTTGATAGAGTCCAAACCCTCAACTACCTGTAAGCACTTATTCTAACCAAGAGTTTGGCCCTAACCATGAGAATTATTAATTGGCCTCAGATTTAAATAGATACTACGCCTGCAGAAGTCAGAGATACCATCAGTCTTCCTGGTTTAACTCTCTGGTTTTCTAGGACTTTGCTACTGCAAGGTTTTTATTTCAATTACCATTCATTAGTCTACTCTAATGGTCTTCCAATAATGCAAGATTTTTCTAAGAAAGGATTTTGGTGGAATGTCAGAAACCATTTCCTGGTGTAGTCATTCTCTGTAATGGAGAAGTCCTATACACATGTAGGGTGAAGGGTAGTTCTTAAATAATAGTTCACTTTGAACCATTTAGCAGCTTTCACAGACAGACAAACAGAGAAAAAGATGGGTAGATGGCTTGGCCACCATCATAGTACTAGGGTTTTCGGTCAACTTTTCTCTCAGAGACTGCTTCTGGAAGCTGGAAAGAGAATAGACATTTGTCTTCTATGTTGTCATGTATAAATAGGATACGAAGTATAATTTTGCCCTTAAAGTACATGTTTTCTGACAGTGAAATTATGGAATGTGCTTTGGAGTTATTGTCATGGGATTGGACAGTGACAGACCCTGCACGATGTAAGGAATTTATTCAACTAATTGTCTGCAGAGTTTTTCACATCTTTTCTTGTCATTGAGTTTTAAAGTTGGAATGACCCTACCTCTTCTTACCAGGAAAAAATGTTTTCTGTACATTTTGTAACATGATTGTACCCTACCTCCCCCATCTCCCATCAACAGGATGATTTTATTTTGGGCATCTTTATTTATAAATTGTTTCTCCTACTTTATGAGAAAGGTTATGTCGTTTCACAAAACATTATACTATAAATTGTGTCTCTTTCAAAAGTATATAGTTTGTTTTTAAACCATAATGTGTAAAAACTAAGCAAATGCAATTTAAAAAGTAATCCCATTCTCTGTAGCCTGTTATGTAAATGTTTAATTGAAATTTCAGACTCAGATTCAAAACTTAAAACATGAAGGGTCCATTGAGAGTGCAGATAGGCCGGGCACAGTGGCTCATGCCTATAATCCCAGCATTTTGGGAAGCGGAGGCGAGAGGATTACCTGAGCCCAGGGGTTTGAGACCAGCCTCGGCCTGGGCAACTTGACGAGACCTCGTTTCTACAATAAATCAAAAAATTAGCCAGGCGTGGTGGTGCGTGCCTGTAGTTCTAGCTACTTGGAAGGCTGAGGCAGAAGGATCACCTGAGCCCAGCAGGTAGAGGCGGTGGTGTGCCACTACCCTCCAGCCTGGGTGACAGAGTGAGATTTTGCATTGTCATTCACGGTATACAGAAGTCCTCCAAGAGTAAAAAAAAAAAAATGTCTGAGCAAATGAAGTGTTGAGTAAATGAAGTGTTAAAATGTATATCTGCAAGAACCTCATTGGACTCTTGAAATAATTGTGTTTTAACATATTTCTTTTTTCTATTTTAGGAGTTGAGCCTCCTTCATTTTAATAGAGAACTTCTAGCGTGTGGATTTTGAGATTTCCCTTTTTTCTTCTTCACATACCACTTGATGAGTTCTGATTTTTTGCTGTGGCTATTTTTGTTTTGTTGATTTTGTTGAAAAATGTATTATTCTGAGATTTATTTAATAGAACTTTTTTTGAGAGCTGTATAATAGTCTTTTTCAGGCTTCTGTCTCTGTGAGATAGATAGCTTATTACTCCAATATCCTTTAATGTCTTTCACAAAGGCAAGTTGCTACTTGTCATTTCTGTTTCTGAAAAATAAAAGTATAACTTGTTCACATTTTTAGTGCTTTGTTATTGACAAAATCTTCTTAAATGTTGAATGTAGCTGACTTCCGCATTTTGATCCTTCAAAGTAGTTAATCCACAGTGTGAACAAATACCATTTCTATCGCCTAGGGCTTCAGCCTTGTGTATGACAGCCCACCTATTTTTCTGCAGCTCTCAGATCTGTCTTTGCCTGGGTATCCAGGGAGCTAAAGATCATCGGGGAGTCTGTGAAACCTTGAGGCAACATGGATACTTCTGGCATTGATTCAGGCCTCTGAAGTGTGAACCTTTTCCTTTTTTGCTTTGGGAGTGCTGCACTAGCTTTTTGAAGGCCAGATGCTGACTCATCTAGTTCACTGCAGTTATATTTGAAGCTGGATGGACAAGGTGGGAACACCAAACAGATGATGGATGCCTTCCATCTGTGAGCATCACCAGGCAGACGCCGGCACCAGTGTCTGAAGGAAGCAGCACCTGGGCAGTAGAACCCGGTTTTTCTCTTTGTGTTTAGCAGGGTTTAAAGGAGATGGAAATACATGAAATGCTGTGTCCACATAATACCGACCCACTCTTTTCTTTAGTAACGGGCATACCAGTTTCAAAATGACTAGAATCCAAGCTTTTCCGAGTACAAACCATAATTTTGTATCACATATTTTCCTCAGAAATGTATACTGTATTTTTTTTTTTGTTTTTTTTTTTTTGAGTTGGGAGTCTCACTCTGTCGCCCAGA